CCCCCCGGTGCTGAATACCTTGCTCACTATCAACAGGGGTGCTCACTAACAGCAGTGCTCACTAGCAACAGCGGTGCTCACTAACAACAGCGGTGCTCAATAACAGCGGTGCTCACTAACAGCGGTGCTCACTAACAGCGGTGCTCACTAACAGCAGCGGTGCTCACTAACAGCGGTGCTCAATAACAACAGCGGTGCTCACTAACAGCGGTGGTGTTCACTAACAACAGTGCTCACTAACAACAACAGTGCTCACTAACAACAGCGGTGCTCACTAACAACAACAGCGGTGCTCACTAACAACAGTGGTGTTCACTAACAACAGCGGTGCTCACTAACAGCGATGCTCACTAACAGCGGTGCTCACTAACAACAGCGGTGCTCACTAACAACAGCGGTGCTCACTAACAACAGTGCTCACTAACAGCAGCGGTGCTCACTAACAGCAGCGGTGCTCACTAACAACACCGCGCGTTTATATTTTTTCCACACACCGCTGCGTCAATTAAATCAATTCGAGTACGGTTCCTTCAACGCACCGAACTCGATATCTGCCTTAGCGAAGCCTCGGTGGCCACGGACGCGCGTTATAGCGTCAGACATGCTCATCGTTAGATCGCCGTAAGAACTGACCGAAACACACGAAAAAAAATGCGCGTGCCATGCAAATGCGATTTAAAGAAGAGGGGCAAAAAAAAGCGCGCCGTGCTGCCGCGACGTTCTAAGAAGAGCGCGTGGATCAGTGTCAGTCACAAGCTCAAATTAAGGCGCAGATCTCTTTCGTCCTTATCGATCCTCCAGGCAGAGTCGTTAGCAAGTGCATAGCGCCACACGCGCGCGCCTTGCTATTCGCGGTGCGCGTCTGCGTTCACGGCCGAGTTTTGACGCGCAGAGCGCCCGTCGCACGGAGAGAGACGACGGGTTTAGGGAGGAGAGAAGTCGCAACCGGAACAAGACGCGAAGCAGATGCATTGTCCGAGGTCTGAGCTGGGATGGAGCGAAGGTCCGGGAGGCTCTGAGATGTTGGGATTGGGAAAGACGCAAGGGAAATAGGACAACTGTCGCGCGATGATCTGAAGGAAGTGGAGGGGGAGGGGGATGATGTACAGAGAAATGAAGACGGAAGCTCGAGATACGAGAGGATGGGAAAATCTGAGCTAAAGACCTGCCACTGGGCAGAGGACTTATAAAAGACGAATGCAATCAGAAGGGCGAGCTATCTGTGTGCATGTACGTGTGTCGTTGGGAGCGGTAGGTGTAGCGGTTAGCGATACGCGGCGCTACGAACCGGTCCTGGGCCTCCCCTAGGTCAACTCAGCCTCAAATGAGTACCTGGTTGCGGTGTGTAAACATAATCGCCACTGGGGAGACAAAGGCGGCTGGGCGTGGTGCTGGCCGCCCACCCCCTCGTGTGGCGTTCCGGCCTTCATAGGTTCTACACTAACAGCACTTGCCCTAATAGTCTGTTACAGGCTATATGGGGGATCTTTGTCGTTATGGTTAACTGTGGTGAAATATGAATAGCGAATCGCCCAAGAAGCACATTACCGAGATGGCATTGGAGCCCAGTTAAAACATTTTTTGGAATAAAATTCCAGGAATGTGACTACACTTGAATGAATACGAATGACAGTGACAGATGTAACAATCAGCTGATAGGACAAGCCAACTGTAAAACCCATCAATGGCGTGTTAGCAGTAAATGATTTAATGTCTTTAAGCGGAATTGTTATCAATGATATCCACAGTAATTAAAACGAACATGAGGTGTCAATCTAACATCTGCGTTTAGTTCCATGAATTGCCATATCGACTACAGGGCAATACGTCTTTAAAAAAAACCGTAGTGTTATTTTACATTCTCTCGTTGTGTGAGAGTCACATTTATAAAACATAATTCTCCAACTGCCTCGTCACTCTACTGCTGGATGAAGGCCTCCCCGCTCCCTGTCGCGTCACGTGCGTTCTTTGACCATACTTGACCACGCAGATTGATGCAGAGAGGGAAGGGGGGGGGCAGGAACGATTCAGAGATAATCTTATCTTATTTAATATTTACAGACCGCCAAGGCGCTTTGTCTATAGTTTACCACGCAGTAGGCTTTCGCGACCAATATCATCCATAAGAGAGGTTTTTGGGTTAGATCGCGTAAATATATAAATGTGTCGTTAAAACCCGCCACCACCCGACACAGCCAACTAGTAAGGGTTGTACTCAGATTGTAAATGTCGTGGCTTGGCTCTCCAACACACCGGTGTGCTCTACTCGTGACGAATTGGCACGTTCTGTTTACGTGACAACCCTTACTAGTTGGCTGTGTCGGGTGGTGGCGGGATTTAACGACACATTTATATATTTAGGCGCTCTAACCCAAAACCTCTATTATGGATTGTGTATAGTTGTTTAAAATCGGTCTGTGGCAAAGGGTTCGTGACGGTTCCGTGGCCGAGAACCAGTCTCAGGTCACGGGGGCTCACAGCGGCAACCTGCACGTATTATGAAGTCTACCAATTCACCAGAACACATATGATCCGATAAGATAACCGAACGGAAGAAAAAGTACTACGGGTGATCACTCTATAATAGTGAGATCGCGTCGCAGTTTCCACGGATGATAACAAGCAAAACAACCCCACACACACCATCCCTTAGACATTTGCACAGGGACATACGAATAAACCAGGCCAACACCCCAACCCAGAGAATAACTTACCCGCTTAGAGCCACGTTGCATTCGTCTCAATGTTATGCAATGTAAATGCGCAAAAATGAAACATCTGCCAGGTCGGGATGGAACTACCTCTTGGTCACAACGGGCGATGCATCGCAAAGGAAGATATGCAGTCGCGTATGCGAATGTGATTTGTAATTTAGATCCTTGCCTGTTGGATAGTTCAATGTTAACGTGGCAATTTTATTGAGGGACTACTGCTGTGTGGCGTTATCTTGGTGTGGTCTGGGACTGTTTTCTTTTTGCCACCTTTTCCAATCTTGATAAATCGGACATACAGTATATAAGTAATTGCGTTATTGTTTATTTATATTTAGTGACTTAAATTGGTATTTAAAGCTTTCGTGACTGCAGTGATTCATATTCATATTCTTGGTTCTTTCTTGGTGTGGTCTGGGACTGTTTTCTTTTTGCCACCTTGCCCAATCTTGATAAATCGGACATACAGTATATAAGTAATTGCGTTATTGTTTATTCATATTTAGTGACTTTAATTTTTATTTAAAGCTTTCGTGACTGCAGTGATTCATATTCTTGGTTCTTTCGGTAAAGTCACGTTGAAGGGAAACAATATATTTTATTATTTCCCTTCAACGTGACTTTACTGAAAGAACCAAGATCATTTAGTGACTTGCTTACCATTTTCTCTATTTTGCACTCCTATAGTTTTTGTTTTCTTGCTGCATTATTTGCGGTCGTAAACTTTCTCACGCGTCCGTAACTGGACATCTGTGAAAAATAACTTCCCTAGCTCAGCGCATTCCTCCACTGCAAATAAAGATTCTGATTCTGAGATGCGACGCATGAACCCCGGCTGGTGACCTTGGCGATGACAACGCCATCAAGAGGGAGTAAGGAGCTGAGAACGGCCGCAGCTATATCACGCCACAAACTGAATGCGATGTCGGAGATTTGTCTCGAGATACATCTTGACACCGACGTCGGAACCGATTAAACGAATGCGTGCAATGCCACCATCTATAACGGGACGCATGTCTGTCAATGTGTGCGCGCGCTACGAACCCGGCCGCCCGAGTTCGAATCCCGCTCACGGCCAACGCCAGTGACGATTAACCGAACAGGTCCTGGTCCTCTCTTAGGTCGACTCAGCTTCAAAATGAGTGCCTGGTGCGGTGTGTAAACATCGCCACTCGGGGGACAAAGGGTTCCGGGCGTGGTGGGGCTGGTCACCCACCCCCTCGTGTGCCACAGTGCCGGCCTTCATAGGTGCCGCTCGCTAACGGCACTTGCCCTGACAGTCTGTTGAGGCAACGAGGGGGATCTTTGCCTTGTGTGTGCAAAGGACAAATACGTCAACACCTTGCCTGAACGTACATCAATCACGTGGACACATAAAGTTGCCACCTGATTAATTTTTTTTCGCTCTATTTTCTCATTTGATGATGCGCACGTGATTTTGTTAAGGCGTGTGTTCGCAGCATGCATACATTACGCGACTATTCGCATCGTGCAAAGTAAGGTTATATAAAGACATAATGCTCAATTCCGCTAATGCACTGTTAAACCGGAACATTGAGAATATTTGCACGGCTCCATAAACCTGGGAACATATCCTGCTAAAAATGTTTATGCAGAAAATCATCAAATACTACTTCCAAGACGGTAACAACGTCACACGAGTTAAAAACGCACACACGCACAAACCCCATCTACTACATCTGATAAGAGTCATCAGACACTATAGCGCTAATGGACCATTCTAGATTTGAAGTTTTCGTGACTGCAAGGATCCATATTTTTTGGTTCTTTCGGAAAAGTCACGTAGGTGAAAAAATAAAATAAATTAAATCACGACGTTTCGATTGCAACACAAGCAATCATCATCAGGTGTGACAACCACAGCAAGAAATGTTTTACTTTTTACTTCAGTAAAAAAATACTTATTGCTGTGGTTGTCACACCTGATGATGATTGCTTGTGTTGCAATCGAAACGTCGCGATTTATTTATTTTTTCACCTACGTGACTTTACCGAATGAACCAAATAATATGCTAATGGGCCATTTAAGAGGTCGCAAATCTTACATTTTCACGCGACCAACCAACCGCCACCACGAACCCACCCAGCACAAACTTCCCAACACCTACCACGACTATGTGACTGTATGGATGGGACAGCGAATGTGGCGGGGGAGGAGGTGTGTGGGGGGGGAGGGCGAAAGGGCGGGGTTGGGGGGGAGACCGCACAGCCTCCATAAACGTCTCTAAATAGGGCATTGTTCTCAACCGTCTCTCATAAATAATTCAGGGCGAGAGGGGCGAGAGGGTTGAGAGAGCGCAGCCAGAGAGTGAGGAGAGGGAGGCGAGAGAGAGAGAGACACACACGCAGGGGTGTTAACGTTGGAGGCGGTGTTGGTGCGGGGGAATGGACAGGCGCGCAGCACCGCGCACCGAGCGCTAGAACTCGGCCGTGCCGCGGGAGGGTGTAGGGGGGGGTGATCCGAGTGAGCAGCCCCGAGACAGCGCGCCGCACGCACGACACGCAGCACCCTCCTCCTCGCTCGCTCGCTCGGAGCGCGCGGCACTTGCAGCGAGCGCAGTGGGAGGCGACTCGGCTCAGACGCTCGGAGGCGGCGCGCACCGCGAAGACGACGCCGCGATCCACGTCGAGAAGGGAACGACGCAGTTCGAGCGCGCGTCCGTTCCTCGCGCGTCCGCCCGTGCACGCGCGTCTAGTTCTGTTGTCTTTCAAACTCATCCACGCCACCCCCTCCGCCACCCACCCACCCCCCCAACCCCCGCTTATACGCGCACGCGCGCGTGTACGCACGTGCGCGCGCGCGTGCGTGTCGCGCTCCTCCAGCCGCAACTCGCTATCGACGACAATAGCCGCCTCTTGACAGTCCTCCGTTCGCTCACGTCGCCAACGGAGTGGGGTCCACCGTTAGCCCGGTGTCTCGTCCCATCACGTCACGCGGCAGCCTCGCCCCCCTGAGCGAGGCGAGGCGAGGCGAGGCGATTCGTAGCGGCAGTCGCAGTTGCGAGCATGGCAGCGCACGGCTGCCACGACCGCTGCGCGATCCGCGCGGGGCTTCTGCTGCTGCTCGTCGGGTGCGCGTCCCTCCGGCCAAGGACTCGCCCCCCGTGGGCTCTGCTCGCCGCCGCCGCCGCCGTCTTCAGCCTCGCCAGGGTCGCGCCCGTTCTCGGCCAGAACGAGACGGAGCCCATCGTGCTGGAGGGAAAGTGCCTGGTCGTGTGCGACTCCAGCCCCTCGGTGGAGCACGCCGGAGCAGCTGGAGCCTCCTTCGGGATCTCGGTTCGATCCGGCAACGCCAAGGTGGCCTTCTCGGTCATCCGGAGCACGAACCACGAGCCGTCAGAGATGAGCAACCGGACCATGGTTATTTACTTCGATCAGGTATTGATTGTGCGCGTTTGGGGTGTGTGTGTGTGTGGGGGGAGCGGTAGTGTAGCGGTTAGCGCTACGCTGCGCTTTAAACCTGCCGATCCAAGTTCGATTCCCGCTCACGGCCAACACCAGTGACGATTATCTGAACCGGCACTGGGCCTCCCCTAGGTCGACTCAGCCTCAAATGAGTACCTGGTGCGGTGACTAAACATCGCCACTGGGGAGACAAAGGCGGTCGGGCGTGGTGCTGGCCACCCACCCCTTCGTGTACCGTTCCGGCCTTCATAGGTGCTCGCTAACAGCACTTGCCCCTACAGTCTGTTAAGGCTATATGGGGGATCTTTTGTACGGTAGGTAAACGGCGGCGCAACTGTTCGCGCACCGCGCTACGAAACCCGCGACCCGGGTTCGATTCCCGCTCACGGCCAACATCAGTGGCGAATAAATGAACCGGTCCTGGGCCTCCCCTCGGTCGACTCGGCCTCAAATGAGTACCTGGTGCGATGTGTAAGCATCGCCACGAGGGAGACAAAGGCGGCCGGGCGTGGTGTCGGCCACCCACTCGCTCGTGTGCCGTGTGGGCCTTCACAGGTGCCAAGCGCTAACAGCACTTGCCCCAACACTCTATCAAAGGCTATACGGGGGGGGGGGGGGCTCTCTGGCCGCTCGCGACTCGCTCGTTCCCCGAGTGTTCGCCAACTTCAAGGTGCCTCGTAAGAGCAACACAACTCGACACGGCCCCCAGTCATTAGAGTTGTGACATTACATATTTCGCTGAGACAAGCGGAGCTTAATTTGACATTATACCCAACGACGCGTGCCTGGATGCTACCGCAAACTCGAATAGCGCTGGGCTGGCACCGTGCGTTATGGGCAGTGCCCGCACGCATATGCCAGGTGCGCAAAAAAATAGAACCGCACCTCCAATTGTCGCGGTGGTGCTACGTACGGTGCGAAAGAAGTCCAACACACGCACACATACATAGACGTTGCCGTGCGCACTTTGACGAGAATTTGCACTTCTTGACGAGAAATGGATTCCTCACTCCCGGTGGACATTCGAATGGGTCAAGGGGTCCATGCGTCCTGTGAGCCACGCTATATAAATATATATAAATTATTAGTAGTATTACATAAAGGGATCCTACAGCTCACGCGTGCGAATAATGTGGGGCTATCGTACGGCGAAGGGTTGGTAACGCGAACAGCGAGGAAAATAAAGGGGGTTGGCAGCGGTGGGGGCGGCGGGTTGGAGATTTATCACGGAATTAAATCTTGACTTAGAGCTTCCGTGGCTGCAGGAAGTCATATTCTCGTGTCTTTCGGTAAAGTCACGGAGATAGGTTCAAAGACAATAACACGAACCTGCCGACGTGAAAGACCCACCAAGAAAATGTATCACGCGATTGTTTTGAGGGCTCGGCAAAGGTGCAACGGTTACGGGTGTCGTGACGTCCACCGTCGTTGTCGAATAACCGGGACTTATTAGACTTCTCTGTGGTGTCAAGTTGCGGAGTTCGAGTCGAATCCTTCCGTCTTCCTCTTTAGGGCGCACTCGCCAAGGCACAAAACAGCTCTTTCCACACGACGACGACGATGATGCTGATGATGACGACGACGCTGACTATTTTCATCTTTCACGTTTTCTTCATGAACTGCACGCACTCAACATTGCAGTTGGGCTACTTTGGTGACGGCGGAATATTGGCATTCATCGCTTAATCCCGAACGCTTTACGAGCGACCCGTTATAATTACATAAACATTACGATCGCGTCAACAGATATTAATGATGTCACTTACACCTTAAGTGCTGTTAAGAACGACCTGTAATGACGATTACAGAAACATGGCAACTTTGATGATAATGTAATGGTTTGTGTTATCAATTACTCATGAGCATTAGTTTAGAAGTGGCCGATGATGATGATAATGGTGCTTGCGCGCTGCGCTACGAACCCGGCGACGCCGAGTTTGACTCCCGCTCACGGCCAACACCGGTGACGATTATCTGAACCGGTCCAGGGCCTCCCCTAGGTCGACTCAGTCTCAAATGAGTACCTGGTGCGATGTGTAAACGTCGCCACGAGGGAGACAAAGGCGGCCGGGCGTGGTGCTGGCCACCCACCCTCTCGCGTGACGTGCCGGCCTTCATAGGTGCTGCTCGCTAACAACGCTCGCCCCAACCGTCTGCTAAGGCTATACGGGGGATATTTAGTCTTTGACGGTGTTACGGATGATGCTCGTGATGGCGATGGTATTCGTGCACACAGAAGGTATAATGCCATAGAGGCGTTCTCTCACAGCCTTTGTTCTCAATCCAAAACGCCGTTGTTCTCGACTTCTCCTCGCGCCTCTGAAAATTCCAACCACCACCGTCTAGATGGCGTTCTCAATGCCCTCGGCTCGTCTTCGTCGGAGCAGCGATGTGGGCCGAGTATTCTAACTAAGCCCGTTGTGTGAACGTCCCCAAAAAAAAAGAATTAGCCTCTGACCAGATCACGCAGAAATGCGCGCCGATCTCTTCAGATCTCGGAAGCGAAAATCGATTTAATAACTGGATAGTGCTTGGATGGGTGGGCACGTGTTGGGCACGTGCTCCGGAGGGCTGCGAGGTCTCACGTTGTTGGGAACAGAGGGCAGGGCAGTTAAACATCAATTTGTTGTACGGCACTTCTATGCTCCTCCACCTTCACCAACCCGCATCGAGCAGTGTGGTGAATTACGATAAAATTAACCCCCACGACGTGCACGGCGTGGGGATGCCCTATTCTGGCATTGCTTTACGTCGTCTGTGCTCTCGAGTAATAGTTCTAATCATAATCGTAACCCTGATGAAGATGTTGACGACGATGCACCTTTGCATTATTGGCAGTCTCCCTGCGCGTGCTCAGTGCGTTCATAGGCGATTAACGCACGCGCGACACCTTCACGCATTGGTTAACCGATCGTCCTGTCCGCCGTGGCGCGGTGATGAGATAACGTAAGGGGTAGTTGTTTTTTTTTTGACATCTCCATTAGCGTCTGCTGCCTTTCTTTAGCCAAGCAAACTAGGCGAGTTCAGCGTCAAAACGACCCGCTAGCTCTGCAGCTAACAACCATTCTTCAAACACCACAGCTAACCTCCAGCAGATGCGATGCACACCTTTCGTGTGCGGGGTTATTTCTGCTCGCGTTCTTCGTCCACACCCGCGCAGCTGGTGTCTGGGAACATTACAACACCCGCATCGAAGAGACCATTGCACCGTAGAGAATTGGCGTGTGTATTTGCGCATGTATTATGCATGCCTTTAAATGTGACCTTATTCTTAGCGATGGTGAATGTGGCAAAAAAAAATTTCGGTGAGCACGATCGACACCCCGATCATCAACATCGCCACCACCATCCCTATTATCACCATCTTTATAATCATCACAATATCATCATCATCATCACCACCACACTACCACCACCACCACTACCACCGCTATTCCCACTCTAGCGTATAAATCATAAATGTGGGTCACAATGGCAACCATCGACAAGACTGCTGCCGATTCATTCAAACATCCTCTGCCCGGCCTAGATTAGAAGTCGTGTTGGGGCTCTGCTTCCCCTGTGGCTCACCACACAGCCCCCCCCCCCCCCCTTCAAAGGGTTAACCGCAATGCTCCCTCCAGTCGTTCGTGGGATGCCGAATTTCAAAGCTCGCGCAGGCGACCTACGACAATGTCCAAACGCGACTGCAACCGGTGGCAATAGCTACTATCGAGTGTCCAGGGCGGTGCAACTGGTCGGGAGAATTCGATGCGCCGGATGACGAAGAGAAGCGGTGAGTGGACATTGGGGCCCATTCCATTACCCCCAGGTGGGGGGGAGTGAGGGGGCCCGGGGCAAACTCCACTTTGGGTCCCCACGACCCCTTCAAACTAAACGGGGAATATTACATCTGACACCGTGACGTCACAGCGCGCTCCCCGCCCCCCAAAGCGCGGGCCCCGGGGCAGTCGCCCCGATTCGTCGTACCCAAAGGAACCGGGCTCTCTGACCCCCACGAGCCGCGCTGAAAACCAAAAAAAGACAGGAGCTGGGAGCTAGAACGGCACGCGTGATCGCCAGAGGCTGGTCGCGCGATTTTCTCGTTCTGTGGTAGCGTTCACCGCTATTTAAGAGTTGGTTCACGCGTGCCGTGCCCCGCCCACGAGTCTTGTATGACCCCCCCACCCTCGCCCGTGTTGAACAAGGTAACGGCTACAGGGTTGGGTGACATTGACCCTAACTGCACTCGCAGGCAAAGGGACAATGAACACACACACAAACACACGCGCGCGCGTATCCGCTATATTCTCCATATCGCTGAAGTGCCGCAAAAAGCGTTAACGGTTTGTCATTGCGCCAAGTAAATTATCGAGATCTCATCCCGACCTTCCCTCCCGTCCTCCCTAATGAAAGCAATGTACTCGCCTTCACTGGAGCGACCCCAGCAAATTGTTATTGATTAGTAACCAGTCTATCCGAGTTAATAGTAGAGAGTTGTTACGGAAAGATGAAAGGTGCTGTGTGCTTAAGTGTCACGTCCCGGTATATTGTACAACGAGATATGATGTATGTGTGATGCAAGGCTATGGCCCTTTGTCAATCCACTGCTGGATGAAGGCTTCGAGTCACTTATGGGCCAATCAAATGTACATGTCTCATAACTCAATAGCGCACTCGTTAATGTCGGCTCTTTAAAATGTCTATTGTGGAGGCATGCAAAAGTACCCCAAACACAGTTCTGTGCAGACTCAGCTTTAGCGGGGCATGGCATCTCAGTTGTCACCCGTTTCACTCGACTGTGTTTGACTACGGGCTTGTTTAGCTGGATAAGGGGTTCCATTGACCGGCGACACCTGAGTTTGCTCTCCGTCAACCACAGCGCAGTGTGCAAATAATAGCATGCACGTGTACAGCCAGTGCTGGATTAACCTCGGTGCAAAAGTAGCTGCATCTGTAGTAGCTGCATATGTAGTAGCTGCATATGTAGTGGC